TGTAAACAGACGCACATCGGTTTACATCCGGCTGCGCATAGACTAACATAGGCTTTAGATTAGATTCGGCTGAAAAACTGACAGGCAGACCTGATCGTACTGCCCATCTGAAAGGGGCCTTAGGTCCCTGCTAAGCCTGAAGAGTAAATGTATGGCAATGTAATGGGTCTAACTCTTTTTGTATCAATTTTTTGTATGGTTATTGATTAAGGGTGGAGTTCCAGCCTTGCACCCCTAATCAGGATAAGCAACGGGTTGCAGAAGCTATTTGTATATCTATTTATATTTATTAGCTCTTCTTTTTTTTTTTTTTGCTTGCTTGCTTTTACTTCTCAGGTTACTTGTATTAGGTTTAAATTACCTCGTAGCTGGGTGTGTCTGTCTCATAGGTGTATGCACTGGTTACAACCTCCAGGCTACTCTTCTATTTGCTGCAAGCTCTTCCTCTGCTTTCTTTGTCCAAAGCCTTAATTTCCCACTAAATGTGGACTGATAAGGTTCAATTCTAAAGGCTTCTCAGCCCATAGCTGAGCCCCTAGTTGGAATGCTGTAACCTGCTTTCCATTAAGACCGGTCTATGTAAATGCAACTTTGTGTGTAGTTATGTTTTACTATACACCCCTGCTACTGCAGCTACAGCATTAATCTCCGTTTACGACCACCTGTAACATGGGGTTCATCTGAGAATGTATATGTATTGTGGGTTATGCTTATGTTGCTTTTCAGGATTCCTATACTAATATTTATAGCCTGGAAGTCTGTATATTTTGCATTTTTTAAAAAATGATTTTGCTGACTCCTAGCCACATCACCCTGAAGCACCTGATATTGGCTGATGCTGGAAGCTTAACAGGGTCAAGCCTGGTTAATACTATTTATCAAAACAAGCCGGAACAGTTGGCCATAGTAACTAATCAGCTTCTCTCTTCAGTTTTCAAAGCTTACCTTAACAAACTGAAGAGAGAAGCTGATGGGCAAGTGCCGTAGATTCTGTCTGCTCCAGTTTTGATAAATTTCTCCCATATGTGTTTTGCTACAGGGATGTGGCTCATGTACACATACTTAGCCTTAGCGTACCTAATATTCCTTACGCCGGACTGTAATATGTTTTATTGTAGTTAACGCATCTTCAAAATATGACAAACCTCATAACACGATATGTAATATGGACTTTTAATCCATATCACTGCTATAGGCACAGGCCTCCTAGATGTAGTGACTTAGATCACTTTTTTCACATCCATACCACTATACATCCTTACAGCTTATGTCCCTAGCACTGTAGTGGGGAGACGCTCCCGAGCAATTTTGTGTGTTGCCTTGAGTATCATAAAAATGCTGAAGTCATGGTCCCCATAAGTTCAGTCCCTTCTGTTGTTTTTCTGTAGGTATATGGTGCCTTATGTTAACAGCGGCACCACCAAGGCTCATTAGTTGAGTGCTGTACCTGCAGGTAGAACAAGAGTCTTTAGCGCATACCCTTGCTTGACTAACAGATCACTTTTCCTTAAGCAAAGCAACAAAATGGATGTAAAGATGAAAAAAACTTCCCACCCACGTGAGTTTGGTGTTTTTCCGGTCACTGCTGTGTAGGGTTCAGGACATGGTGATCTATCCACAGGGTAAAAAATTTTAGTTTATCTTTTGACTTATCAGCGTACATGAACCATTAGTCTAAAGGTGATTAATGCACATAGGTAATGTTAAGGTCAGAAGGCACCTAATGTATAAATAGGTTAATTCCTTTTAAAGTACACCAAATGAACCTTTCTCAAGTGGGGTGCAGTGAACTTTTCGCATAGCATCATGCATTTTTATGGTGCAGGCGGGCTGGCCAGCAACACCATGGAAACGCATGGTGCTAATCCATGGTGGCATCCATTCAGAACAAAACAGAAGTCTGCCTCTGTCCAAGCCTGCTCTGCCATGCTGCCGCAGCCATGCCCTGTTCTTGTACTAGGACAAAGCTGTGAAGGGAGGGGCCTGATGTGAACGTCAAGGAGCTTCTGCTTGGATTTTAGTGGAGATGCCATTTTTACATTAACTTTTTTTACATTTTTGGACTGGATTTTACATACTGTTAAAGGTTGCCATGACTGCAAAAAGGTTGAGAAAGGGTGCACCAAATTGTCCAAATAGTGAATTTTCTCCTGGTGGAGCAAGGAAAAGTCCTTTCCACCAAATTGCTGGCAAAATAGGGTGCCAGTTTGCTTGTCTCTAGATTTGAGTAGAAAGGATGAGATTTATTTTTATTTTTTTGTCGGACACACCTTCTGCCACAGTCGCTAATCCTTGTCTTTAAATTGTGTTTAAGCATTTTTTATGATGCATATATTTTTTTTTTTATACACTGATTTTTTTTTTTTTAAAGGTTTTTAAAAGGAATATAAAACAATAAAGGGGAGGGTTGTACAACCTTTACAACCAAGCAGTAACGCAAAAGTGATAGAACTAGAACAGTGAGTATAAGCATAGCTGTGTCATGCAATAGTTGGCAGTTAAGGTTGTAACTGCTAAGACCTGGGTGGAGTTTACTCAGGAAATGATATTACTGTTTGCCAGAAAAGTGAGAGGTATTGTCCTGAGGCGTTGAGCCTCACTCTGGAATTAAGTAGTAAAGGTCATGTTATCTTATGCAATGATGGGGTAGAGGGTGTGCCTCATTCCTTAGGGTAAATTAGGGTGCGGTAGGGACTGCAGAGGAAGGGCCTGCGGGCTTTAGGGACAAATCAAAGTGGGTCGAAGACGAGGAAGAGGTGAAAGTAGTTAAGAAAGAATGTGAGGAAATTCTAAGGGAGACACAGATAAACTGAACCCGATATAATAAATTATAATTAAACAAAGATTGTACGTTTTATTGTGAATGAGGTAGGTGGAAGTTTCCTTAAGGTGCCCATACACCTTACAATTATCTGCAGATTTTCTGTGGTCAGATGGAAAAAGTGGAACAGATTGGCCCAGGTGGAGATTACTACATCCACACAGTTTAACATAGATGGAGGAATCTGTTGCACCTTTTCCATCTGACCACAGAAAATCTGCAGATAATTGTAAGGTGTATGGCCAGCTTTATTCTCTGGAATGCTTGAGATTGTTAACTTCTCATGAACATCTAAACTATGAAGGCTTTTTAAAACCATTTTCCCTGCACTTCACATTGACTCTCTCCCAGTGGAATATATTATATTATGGTAAAAAAAAATTAAGAAACCAACAAGCAAATGTTATCAGACCTCTTCATACACACTGCCCATTGAGGGTGTATAAGGAGGTATATTATTCGTTTTGCTGGTCTTTTTCTCAGTAAACCAGTAAACATTTTATGCCCCACTCCATGCTGCTGTAAAAATTTGTGTTGCTTACAATTATGGTTTTATTAAATTTCATTATTAAATGGTGGAAAAAGATCTGCATGCTAGATTACAAGTGAAAACAATATTCATTGTCTCCTATAGACAGAAGTACAATAACATTGTTTTTATCTGTATGGTTGTTAAGTTCATGCACACTGAGGTCTGGTTCACACCTGGACGTTTTACAGCGCGTTCCTACGCTCTGTAAAACGCTCACAATGTGAAAACCAATGATTGCCTATGGGCATGTTTCCCACCTGGGCGTTTTACAGCGCGTAGGAACGCGCTGCAAAACGCCCTACGCCCAAAGAAGTACAGGAGCTTCTTTGGGGGCGTATTTGCCGCACGTATCCATTGGGATACAGCCAGGTAGCCCTCGGAAACGTGCGTTTGTTGTCGCGAATCGCGGCATATTCGATACGCCTAGGTGTGAACCCAGCCTAAGACCTTTTCAGGTGGTATTAAATGAATACAATGTATAGGTAGCTACAGCTTTCAAAAAGCCTGTTCTGAGTTCATTCCTTTTCAGCAATAACAACCTGACAGGCATTCTAACATCTTGTTTATCCAGAAGAAAAAAAAGTTTTGATTTTAGATACTCTTTAAAGTAGAACTAGTATCAAATTTTTGTTTTCATATTAATTGCCTCAGCATGTAATGTGGAGGAGTAACACTTTATTCGACTCTTTATCCTTATCCAAATATCCAAGTTTTAGATTTTATTAGATTAAGATTATTTTAGATCATTTTTAACGGTTTTCGATAAATTGTTTTATGCATAAAACCTATTCAGTTTTGTTTTTTGAAGATGTAATGTTGAAAAACAGCAAACTGTAAGTGGAATTTATCAAAACTGGAGCAGACAGAATCTGTAGCAGTTGCCTATAATAACCAATCAGCTTCTCTCTTCAGTTTAGATTTTAAAATGAAAGATAGAAGCCGATTGGTTGCCATGCATAGCTGCTCCAGATTTTGTCTGCTCCAGTTTTGATATATTCCCCTCTGTGTGAGAATCTGTGACATTGCGACTAAATGATGGCTTCACAATTGCAAATTTTTACCATTATTGGAGATCATATTACTCCTTCTGCCACTCCTTTATCTGCACCGGCCTCAAAGTTACAGTTTTGCTGTTTTGATGGTCTTGAAAGATGGGGGAAGAGATGAAATTGCCCAAAAAACATAGTTCACTGTTAGGGCTTGTTCACACCATCTCCATACCAGAACGTTGTTTTATCTGGACCAAAAACACATACACAATAATTCAATGGTAAAAAAAAAAGGCTAGTTCACACTATTGCGTCTGGAGATGTTGCGAACAAGCCCTAAAAGAAAATAAATACCTCTCCCACTGCCAACCTCATGGAGCGAAATACTCTAAAATCTGCTCTGAAATAGATGCTTCTGGGTGTATCACCCTTTTGATCCCCCTGCTGCTCTCAGTGGTCCCCTTGCCAGACTTTGCGTCTCTACAGAGCACACTTCTTTTACAGGAAACCACATTTTGGGCAATTTCGTGTTAAGGACTGGTCACTTTAAATCACCTCAGCCTAGGCTAAATCACATGCC